TATACATATATATATATATGTATATATATGTATATATATATATACAGTATATGTGTTTATTTAAGTTATTAAGATGTGAAATCTGATTAAAAAGCTCCGAGTCGACCGGCTGCTCTCCGTAGAATTAAAGACTTTAATCTACTTTGAGTCTCACGCTGCCTTCAGGTGACGTTGGAATCGGCGTAAATACGACACAAGCCACGTTCACGTTAAATTTGTGTAATTCCCAATTTACGATCAATAAATCGATATCTGTCATAAGTCTTTGTGCTGTTGATCAATAAGAGTTTGAGTCGAAAAATTATATTTGTGCTGAAATGATGTTAATCAGCAGAAATAATTATTATAGTCAGATTCAAAGCAGAAAACTTTACGCGCATGGTAACGTTACAACACAAAGATTTTGGCCTGTTTTTGTTGACAGCTGGCTGAAAAAAAATCCGAAATGAATCAAAATCATTTTTTCACTTTCTATATTTTCTTAAAATTGAAAAAAATGATTTGATTATTTTCCAAATAAGAACTTCAAAGTCATATTTTCTGATTTCAATTTTTTTAAATCTTAATTATTCTTTTTATTCTTATTGTCTATTCTTATTGTATTTTCAGGTATTTTTAGACATGAACTCACAAATTAAATAAACGAAAAAAGAATAAATATAAACTAAATAAATCTAAACCATTCAATTATAGTAAATTAGGAATCATAATCAAAAATTGTATTTATATAGGCAAAAATAAAATCAGTCTTTAAATTATAATTTCGTTCTTTGAATCCTTTAAAAAAACAAACAATATCTCCGTAAAACGAGTTCCTACAAACGCCTCGTGTCTGACTTTTCCATGATTTTCTGACGTGACCTGAAGGCAGCGCTGCTGTTTTATAATATATAATGTATAATATAATATATATATAAATAATAAACAGAAGACGAGATAGAAAAGACTCGTGTTACAACATTCCTGTCGAGTGTTTTGGTTTCACAAACATGAAAAAACAACATTCAGAAACATTTTACGTTCCTTCGAACCAGAAGAAGAAACACGTCGACGGTTTCTGTCGGTTCCACCAAAGAAACACAAAGAACCTCAAAACTGGAAGACTTTCTCAGAGGCAGTACGGTGGGTTGTGATCGGTTCGTTCCTTTTCCTTCCATCGGTCCATCGGTCCGTTTGTAACCATAAAGAAAAATCATAAATCTCAAGAGAAGAAAAAGGGGGCGTGGCAGCCAAACAGAGTCGACCTCTGTAACTCCGCCCCCTCGTTAATTTCAATATGGCGGCAGAGCATGCTCAGCTGTCGGACTAAATAACGTCTCTGATTCTGTTTTTGTTCACATGCAAAAAATGTTTTAATTTTTAATCTGTGACATAAAAACATTTTTTTTATAGTTTACTCTGTCTATTATTTTGGCGGGTTGGTTCCTGTGTCAGCAGATGGGAGGTGACCAAGTTTCCCAAAAATCATATTGGCGAGAATTTCAAACACTTTGCTCATTTGTTTTTCTGTAATAATTCTTCTTTTCTATTATCTCGACTTGTTTTGTGTTTTATTTCAACATTTCATCTTTAATTAACACTTTTTTTTTTATCCTTAATACAAGATAATAATCTTTTATTTCTGATTTGAGATGTGGAGACTTTTAAAACACAAAGTCACAACTTCTTAAAATACATTTTAAAAAGTGTTTCCTGAAAAAAGGACCGAAACACTTTTATAGTGTTCTTAATAATAAAATAATAAAAGGTTGAATTTTCACTGAACTTCCATAAAACAACATTTATTCAAATCAAACCAGACTTCTGTTAATAGTTCACTGATTTAGAGTAAAAGCTGTGCAACACAGAAACAATATGGCACCAATGATACTCCAGCTTCTGTGCTGCTACATGAGCTTCATACAATACTTTCAACACATTATTAATATTATCATAAAGGCAGTGATAGAACAGGCTTATTACATGAAGCAGGAAGTGGAGGTCGAATGGTTGATCTTTGTAAACTAAGAAAAGTCGAGATGCTATTTTTTGGGAAACTGGGCCGGTAACTTGTGAGAAGAGTAAAGGGTTTAAAGAGAGAGAAGAAGAAACAACTCGTTATTTCACTGTTTACAGGAAACCACTGCTTGGTGTCGTGAGGTCGCAGTGAAACAAGCTCACAGTTCTTAAGGGCAGTGCATTAAGGGCAGTGTTAAAACATGTCACCCAAATATCCTCTCATCGACCGACACCTCAACGCAACACGGAGAGGACGCTGACGTCCAAACTGTAAATGTGGACGAGTTTTTATTCATTTAATCTGCTTCAACTACGGCTACTTATTCAAATAAATGTACCACAAAACATGAGGAAACCGTCTCGTTTAAGGACTTCATTACCCACAAATCCGTGTTTTTGAAGACACAGAGTTTAGCCTTTAGAGGCGTCACTTTAACTGAAATCAATGTGTTCCTGGTGTTTACTTGTTGACTAATAACATCTGAATTTGTAGCAGTTTTGTTCTTAAATCACTAGCAGCGACGTCATGATGACATCAGCGTACTCTCTGACTCCGCCTCCTGCTGAAAGCTCAGAGAGATCAATAAGACAAAATACAAGAAAGAATCTAATATTTAAATCATGTGGAGATTCAAAGAACTACTTTCTTTGTGGGACTCATCAGTCAGTAACTGCTGTGATAATCGTTCCACATCAAAACATTCTTTTTACGTCGTATCGTATCAAAACATATAGATACGGTAAGGTACGATACAGTACGTATTGAAACATATAGTATCTTGTATATCATCTCGTACATATAGAACTGGACTGTTCAGACCGGATCACAGTTACACAACTCAGCTGTTAGTGTCTCCATAAATCATTCAAACCCCCCAAACGTCTGCGTGTGCTTTTAGAAAAAACACATCACATCCTATTTCTGCTCAGTCCCTGAACGCAGCACGAAGACAGGAAGCAGGAGCTTTTCCTTCTCTTTTAGGTTTGAGCTCTTCACATTCCTCATCATCTTCATCTTCATCATCAGATTTTAGATCCAGCTGCTTCCTTTGAGAGACAATCTATCAGAAGACACTGTCTGAACACACCAGAGACTCTAGAGACAGAAGACCAACAGTCAGAGTCCTGAAGACACCAGAGACTCTAGAGACAGAAGACCAACAGTCAGAGTCCTGAAGACACCAGAGACAGAAGACCAACAGTCAGTGTCCTAAAGACACCAGAGACTCTAGAGACAGAAGACCAGCAGTCAGTGTCCTAAAGACACCAGAGACTCTAGAGACAGAAGACCAACAGTCAGTGTCCTAAAGACACCAGAGACTCAAGAGACAAAAGACCAACAGTCAGTGTCCTAAAGACACCAGAGACTCTAGAGACAAAAGACCAACAGTCAGTGTCCTAAAGACACCAGAGACTGTAGAGACAGAAGACCAACAGTCAGTGTCCTAAAGACACCAGAGACTCTAGAGACAGAAGACCAACAGTCAGAGTCCTGAAGACACCAGAGACTCTAGAGACAGAAGACCAACAGTCAGAGTCCTGAAGACACCAGAGACTCTAGAGACAGAAGACCAACAGTCAGTGTCCTGAAGACACCAGAGACTCTAGAGACAGAAGACCAACAGTCAGTGTCCTAAAGACACCAGAGACTCTAGAGACAGAAGACCAACAGTCAGTGTCCTAAAGACACCAGAGACTCTAGAGACAGAAGACCAACAGTCAATGTCCTAAAGACACCAGAGACTCTAGAGACAGAAGACCAACAGTCAGTGTCCTGAAGACACCAGAGACTCTAGAGACAGAAGACCAGAGTCTTTTCACGATGTCCATCTTTTCTTATTGTTCATCTCAACTGGAGAATAAAAGACTTTGGTCAGCAAACTAAATACTGGATCATCTTAAGTATCACTTTGTCCTCAGCAGTGATGGTCTGCAGGTTACTTCGTCCCGGGTTTTCTATATTTACAGATCATAAAGAATAAAGATCATAACTCACTTAACATCACTTCACCACCTCCAGACAAATCATGCCGAAGAACTCGTCAACGATATTTTGAAGATTTGAGTTTTAATCAAAGATCTGAGGTCCAATGTTTTTAAGACTCCCGAGTTTTTGCACCTTCTTGATAATCTGTATTATTTGCACCCTTTTCCACTTGATAGTGCAGCTGCAGCACAATAATATTAGTATCTAATAATAATTATGGAGGGTTATGTTCTAGATTTACATAAAAGCAGTACGTCTGTCTGTTGAAATGTGTGCTTCTCTTATAGAAACCAAACATGTTGGTGGATCATCTCTCTTAGTTTCGAGTCTTTTCACAGAAAGTAACATGAAGTGATTTGGATGATTTTAAAGCTGCAGGAATGTGAAGATCATGCAGATAAATGTAACGTTAATCTGCACAGAGACGTTTTGAGACCGGCAGCTCTGATGGAAGTATTCAAATCACAACAACTTGACCCGGATCACCGGGCAGACCTGGTCCTCCGTCCACAAAACCGAACCCACGACCCCAAACAAACAAAACGAGATGTGCAGCTGACGAAGACGAAACTAAAAAAAACACTCTTCTCTCTGATTGGACGGAACAACACGCGGAAGAAGAAGAAGAAGAAGAAGAAGAAGCGCAGCGTGTCGAAAGTGCTAAAGTTTTTGCATTGATTAAGAAATGAAAGGAAGTGAAAGTTTCTACATGGCTTAAAGCTTCAGAGTTCTCAGCGCTCGCTCAGCTCCGAAAAACATCTCGTCATCGTCGTGACGGCAGTGAAGATGATGATGATTACAACGTGGCGATGAAGAGCAGGTGTGCTCGCCTCCGGGCGCCGTATCAGCAGGGCTTTTTGCATAAAATGTAAATCATCATCATCAACGTCCTGATTTTATTTTTTCATCTTCAAACAAGCCCCTCCCCCTTTCCCCCCCACCCCTCCTCCCCCGGCACATTTTAAATATTTCAATATGAGCAGAAGAAGATTTTTCCCGTTTTTTATGATTTTTGTTTTTTAGCTGCTTTTGTTTTCTTTGTTTTTGTCGTCGTCGTCGTCGTGGCGGTTTTGTTGTCGTCGTTGTTGCTAAACAGAGGGAGTGTTAAAATGGGAGTTTGCCTCCTCCTCCTCCTGTAGGGGGCGCTGCAGGCTATGATCCGTCCCGCTCTGTGAGGTCATCCTCCTCCTCCTGCTCCTCCTCCTGCTCCTCCTCCTGCTCCTTCATCACCCTCCGCTCCTCGCTGTTGATCGTTGGGCTCCGCGACGACTTCAGCAGCTTCTCCTCGAGCTCGTGGAGCGACGGCTCCTTATACATGCAGACTGATGGGGGGGGGGGGGGGGGATCACAACACAAGATGAACATCAACAGTGTCAAAGAAGTTCAAATAACATATAATTCATTAACTAGTCCTCTAGCCGTCAATACACACAATGATGTTACTGCCTGTTAGAATGCTCTTTATTCATTTATTATGTTTTCTGTACGTTGATGTCTAGTTTATTAAGACTGCATGGATGAGTACTGGCAATATGCATATTGTTATTAAATACAAATATATGTAAATTATTTATAAAATTATATACAAATATATTTATTATATACAAAAATGTTTATTTTACTTACAAATATATCTTCACTTTATTCAAATATATGTATATTATATACAATTATATTCATATTATTTACAAATATATTTATATTATTGTACATTATGAAAAAATATGTATATAATCTCTATAATGTATATGTACCTGTAACACACAGGCAGAAGAAGGGAGGAAAGAGGATGAGGGAGTTCAAATAACATAAAGAGAGCTGGAGAGGTTGAAGGAGAAGGACGTGGAGGAAGAGGAGAAGATGGACAGGAGGAAGGGGAAGGTGATCTTTGACTGATATTTTTAAATGAAGATGGGGGAGGAGGGGGGAGACAGAGAGAGACACAGAGAAGCTGAAAGCAGAGACGGAGCTTCATGTTCCCTGTTAATCTGTCCATCTGTGATATTAGAGCTTCAGCTTGTCCTCAAACTCAGAGGAAGTTCCTGCAGGACGACCTCAGATCTCTGAGTGAAGATCCACTCACGATGAGTTCAGGGGCAGCAGGTAATAAACTCACGATGAGTTCAGGGGCAGCAGGTAATAAACTCACGATAAGTTCAGGTGCTGCAGGTAATAAACTCAGGATGAGTTCAGGTGCAGCAGGTAATAAACTCACGATGAGTTCAGGTGCTGCAGATGACAAACTCACGATGAGTTCAGGTGCAGCAGACGATAACGTTGTTATTGTTCTCTTTTAATTAGTGCTGGGCAACGATTAAAATATTTAATCGCGATTAATCGCATGGATTTTTTGCGATTAATCGCGATTAATCACATTGTTATGGCAAAGTTCAATAATGAATTCAAAAGTAGTGTATTGTGCACGTTTATTTTAAAAGTACTGCTATATGAACAAAAGGGCAATAACATTTG